GTTTGGTATGAGCTCAATTTTTTTTCATTTAGTTAAAATCGTACCTCAACATTTTCAGCTGTTTGTATGTACTGTTCCTAGTTGATTAGAATAAGCTGAAATTCCCTTGATAGCAAGAATATGACATTTAATTAAATCAGCAGTATACCAAAACATTTGTTCAGCTGTAGGTTTATGTTGTTTTTCAGCAGATCCAAATTCTTATTGTACTTTATGTCCCGACTGGATAGTGTGCAGTTTTATGAATTTAAATGTGTCCTTTTCATAATCATGTCTATTCCTTGGAGGGTTCTGAATTTTTGATAATTAAAAATAATTGTAATTAAAGCCTAATTAAAACTACTTGCTGTTTCTGTAAATGGTAAGAAAAGTGTTTTTAAAAGTTTCCTTTAGATTCTGCCTATATGTTTCTTGTTGTTAGTTTTATTTAATAAACACTTCAAGATCTGGTAATAATGTAAAACATCTATTATTGATAATGAACATGGCATTAGATAATTAGATATCACTGTACAAATTCAAGAGTCTGAAACAGTCTACTTCTATATCTTACAGTTTTTCTGTGTCCATGATTACAAATATCCCTGTATTCATAATGATAAAATACTAATTTGTAGAAATTTTGTGTTTAATGTAGGAATAGTACTGAAATAAACAATCACATTACTCACCAGGTTCTCAAAAGCAGTCTTACAGAATATTTTACTGACTGTACCTTCACACACCATATGTTCTCATACAAGTATGTAATGTAATTAGAGGTTGCACAATGGCCATGCAATTTTATTTTGTGAAATGAGAGCAATAATTGGGCAAACACAACATAAGCGTGATGTATCAAGTAAACATAAGTCAATCTTTATTTTCTCAGTAATAATATTTTGAATGTACTTAGAATTTATTTTACCCAAGTTTCATTTGGGTTATTGATGTCTTTCTTTGATAGTTATTTATATATCAGAATATCTGTTAGCATCAGCCTAATTATTGATTGCAATCTGAGAACAATACTTTTTCTTCCTATACCAGCTGCAAAAGTAAAAATAAATACAGAAATTATTTTATAAGTTTTACAAAAACCATAGTTTTTGAATTTTTACAAAGGGAAAGCAATTGTATTTATCATATAAATATTGTCTCTCTCATTATGTAGAGTTTAAATAATATAAATATCACTCTCTATCTAGAACCTGGGTACAAAGAAAAGAAACTAGCTATGATTTTGGTTCCACGTGGACCTATATGAGTCACTTATGCAGATGACTATTTTATGGTATCTGCATGCCATTACAATTATTTTTTCTAGTATTTTCTTAGAAAGGAAATTATTGCTTTTTTATTAATCAAAACAAAAATTATTTGCAACAAGGATCTGTAGTATTTTATGCCACATTGAAAAATTTAGAAATGTTATTACTATTTAAAACTTATATTTCCCTCTTTCTTTCCTGTATTCAGCCGTACAAGGATCAAGTGTTATTTTCCGAACAGTGGAAGTAACATTACATAAAGAAGGCAATACCTTTGGTTTTGTAATACGAGGTAGGTGGTGGTTAAAAAATATGAACCATCAGATACTCTTGGAAAATTTGCCAGTGTCATATTGGGAGTAAACTAGAAAGTCATCCACAAAAAAACTGATGTTTCCATTGTGTAAAGTCACCTTTTAATATTTACACCTGTTCTTTAAGTAAATAAAACAATGAGTAAGAATCAAAGTGGAATCCAAATGATGTAGTGTTCTTTTTTAGTTCATTAATACAGAGCAAGAAACTACTGTTTATAAACCTTGTCGATTCAGTCATGCTACTGCTTTGTCACTTTGCAACATATCTTTTGCCTTTCCTTTAATACTTTATCACTGAATCAAAAATGTTGGTAAGTACAGCTTGATTTGATTTAATACACTAGGATTAAGCAACTGTATTTACATTAATTTCTCCTAAAATACATTTTGTTATTGTAACTTTCTAAAAATGGATTGAAGGTAATGTAATCTTTGGGTACCTATGTTCATAAACTCAATTCATCATATTACAGGATGACAGTGATAATAAAGATTTCAGGTGACTCCAACTTGTCTATAAAACCATTGATTCTAAGGTGTAATTCTAGCTTTTATTATTTTGTTTTTCTTATGGACAATTTCATCCCTTAAAGACTAAGCCTGCATTAACAACTCTCAAATTCCTAGTATGACAATGAGGTTCTATGGGAAGCTATTAAAGCATCAGGAATTTTTTAACATTTCACGTTTCTTGATTTTTTTTTTTTTTTACCTATAACATTTTGTACTTCACCAGAGTCAAAATCCTACAAATTTTTTAAGCATTAGTTAGAATTAAGCATCTTAATAAATATACATGCATCAAAGAATAAAAGAGATATGTTCACTTGTACAGACTTCTGTACCACATTTTTGTAGGCTTTAAATAACTTCCTTAATATGTTGGTTGAACATAAAGTTTATGAAATTTTGCACAATTTCTCAATGAAAATCAGGTAAAAGATTTAAATATTTAGATCAGTTTTAGGCCCAACTGGAGGGTTTTCCTTCTCAAAAGGTGGTCACTACCCATCCCTTCAGAATCATTGGTTAATCAGAATGAGAAAGTACTGTGGGTAAAAATTAGCCTGGCAGAAAAGACATTTTGGTGTAGATGGGACTTGAGCTAAACTTAGAACAATGGAGAATACCAGGACCATCGGGAAAAAGGGGGAAGTTTTTGCAGATGGATCATGTTAATTTCATATTGGAGAATTTCTTCTTAACACGTTAGAATGGAACTTTGAACATTATAATTAGCTTTTAGCTAATGAATAGGATTGTATTTCTAATGCTATTACGTCACAGATTCTAAAACTTTGACATTCCAAAACTGGAACACTGAACCGAATGAAAAATGACATTCTGGCCTAAGCCTTGGAGAACTAAATTTGAGTTAATTCCTCGCCACTGGGCCAAAGGAGATGGGTTTGGATAATAGGAAAAGCTCTCTGCCACTAAGTTGCTTTTCTCTTTGGACACGGAAACCTTCTCTATCTGGTCATTCTCAACTCTAAAACTGTAGGTAGGTTTGCTTATTTAACATATGCTGCCTGATATTCAGATTTGGTCTGCAATGTGGCCCTGGCATTGATATTTTCAAAAAGCATCCCAGTTAATATTAATAGGCAGCCAAGAATATCACTGGTCTCTGAATGATCTCTGTTTTGCCTTGTTACTCCAAACTTCTAGAACCTAATTGAATCTCACACAAACTTGGTTCATTACAAATAATGATAAAATGCCACATATCAAGAAATTTAGAATTATTTCACACTTAAACATGCATTCACTGTTATGTATTTAAATTTGGGTCTGTAAATCAAAATTATGGAAGGATTTCTTGCTATCTTCAGCCCCCATTTTTTTCTAAATCAATGCCCCCTTTAGGGAAAAGCAAATCTATCCTTTTATGAACACCTTGCAAAAGAGAAGTTTCTTAATAGTATTTACATAAATACGAGTCAGCATTTGATATAACTTATTGTCATGATTTTCATTTTAAAATTTTTTTCTGAGAAAATGGTGGATTTCCAATTTTAAGTAAAGAGGAATTTTTAAAGAAGCCATTGAACCGAATCAAAGAATAAAATACTGAAATGGAGCTTTTACCCATCAGCCAGACTGAATGAATCACTTGTAACAGAAGTGAGCACAAAGGAAACATTTACCTTCATCAGAAATGGTGAATGCCTTTTAATTTTTCTCTTAGGCTAGATTCTTTAAGTTGACCTCCCTACCTGTGCCAAGTTTGGGAAGTATCAGTCTGTTCTGCCAGACAAACATTAAGGAAGTAATAGTTGACAATAGCATTCATATCTATCAGATACTGGCAAACTAGAGACCACCCAGATGGGCGGCCAGGAGGAGGGTGATGTACAAGGAATTCGGGTCACATGAAGAATAGTTAAGGAACCTGGGAATGTTCAGCCTTAAGAAGATGAGACTTAGCAGGTGTATAATCTCTGTTTTCAACTTTCAGAAAAACTTTTTTGTAGAAGAGAGCATAGATTTTTGTTTTGTTGCTCTAGACAATAGAGCAAAGACCAGTGGATGAAAGTTGAAGGAAGACAGATATCAGTAGATATCAGTTAAACACTCGGAAGAACTTTCTAAGACCCCTAGGTGTCCAAATGTGGCGTGATCGGCCTCAAATCTAATAAGCAGGGCAGCGCTAGTGGAATTCAGGTGGAAGCTGAGGGAGCACAGATTAAGAAAATCATACAAAAGAGTTGTGGATTAAAAAGAGATTGACAATAAATTACCTTTCATCTTGAAGCGTCTGTTTCTAAGAATTCTTGGGGAGAATTTTTTTTTTTTTTTTTTTACAGAAAAGTAATATCCCCATTTAAGCATTGCAACTGGCTTAACGCAGTTTTCCAAATTTGCCCCAATTGTTTGAACATCCTACTTTTAATGGGAGCCACTTTGGTCACTTGAGTTTTTTCTTGCTTTCTTTTTTTAATACTTAATGTTTTGTTTTTTTTTTTTACTTTAGGTTTTGCCTCTTTTAGGTCAGGTTGTAGACGTCCTAACCTGCATTTTAGCTCAGGTGGATTGACACTAGGCATACACTCCTGCACTTTGTGTAACTGGCAGCTCTTATAATGGGACCAGTACTTGTGATCAGTTGATCCTTTTGCCCTACCAGTTGTTGAGTATTTTATGTATTCCCTTGTTGCAGCCATATATTTACTGAAAGGTGGAGAAATGGTGACTGCAAATATATATCCTATATATTAGTAGAATGAATAAGACCTTTAAGGCTGTTACATGCCTCAAGGAAAATTTTCCATGTTTCCCTCCTTACATCAAGTGTGGCATTTCTCAGCTGGCATTTTGTAAGTGAACTTTTTTAATGGCAACAGTGAAAGCATTCTTAAGCTGTATCCCTTTCCTTTGCTAGGGGGAGCACATGATGACAGAAATAAATCTCGTCCAGTTGTGATAACATGTGTTCGTCCTGGAGGGCCTGCTGACAGGTAAACCTTTATCTTTCTGTGTCACTATCCGAGATAGAATAAATAAAGCTGGGGGCTTTGGCGTAGAAGTTGATATATTAGAAATTTCATGGTAAAAGATAGGTATGAAGTATATATGTTAGAATGTGAAAACTGAACGAGTTCAGGCTGTGGAATTAGAAAAAAATAAGGTTGCCTCCAGATTCCATACTCACTACACTCTATCTTTGTCAAGTGACTTAATCCTGAGCTCCGTTTCCTCCATTGTAAATGGAGATAATAATACCTGCCTTCGAGGCTTGTTCAGTTTTATTAAAGATTGGAGATAGATGCTGCCTTGCAGAGGCTTTCATGGGGTCGACACTAAGAGAAGGCAGCTGGCTCTTTTAAGGCAGACACTTGAAACGCATCCTCTCCACTCCCTACTCTGCCACCCTGGAAAGACAGGTGGGGGCGATGAGACTTTTACCATCAACATCACCCTTGTCATTATTAGTATTACCTTTTGATGGTGACTGTGTAGGCCAGAATGGAAGTGGCTTTTAGTAAAATGGAAGGAATTTTATCAGTCTCTGGATTCTTCTCTTCCTTGCTAATATGAATATGTGAAAGATAAGTGCCTTCAGCTTTCCTATCATAAACCTTTTGACGTCCCAAGTAAACTCACGATTTAGGTGTTTCTGGAGATACTTATCTCTGTATTAGCTTCCCACAGCAAAAGTCGATTCCATAATGACGGGGGAACACAGCTGCTGCCGTTAGATACTGTCGAAGGGTAGAGAGCAAATGGACTGACTACTCCTGTCTCTCTCTATTCGGACCAGGGTAAACATTAAATTATTTGCTGAGAGGCAGAAGGAACAACAATAACCACTATTGATTAAGCACTTATTATGTGCCCAAAACTGTGCTAGTGCTTGGCAGACATCATCCTTACAACTACCATCTCAATGGGGTATCTTTAGCCACATTTATAGATTGAAAAACAAGCGGTGGTTAATGTGGTTAAATGACTCGCCAGCAAGTAAGTGCAAGAACTGGGAGAGGAACTCACGTTTATTTTCCTTCAAAGCTCAAACTGTTAGCTCACTTTTAAGAAAGATGATAGCTCATATAAAATAAGAAAATAGGAAAACATGGGTTTCTCACCTGTGCTAAAGTATATGTTGTACCTTTGCAGAGGATAACACAGTCAAAAATTCTGCCTTTTTCCCATCTTATGCTTCTCAAGTGAATTATTCTTCCTGAAGCAAATTAGAATATTTCCATTTTTTATTAACATTTAGAGTTGGAGTTGACAGAAATGTCAAAAATAGGCTACAAGTTTGTGAGTGACATACCTGTATTACCAAATCAATTTAGGACTCCAGGAAATCTGAGAATTTAAGATCAAAATTTACAGTCAAAATACTTAGAGAGTTATCTAGGTAAAAGATGTTTACTTAAGTCGTTTTTATTCTTTCCAAATCGTAAACTTATATTCCACCATTTGGTTTTCTCATTTTCATGCCCCTCCCTGAGGCAGGGAGAATGTAATTTGGGGACCTCCCTGGCTCTATCTTTGTGGTGTCACTAATGTCCTGAGTCATCTTCTCCCAGGGCCTTGAATGTCTATTCACAGCAGGGAGAATAGTATTTGCCTGCCTCTTCCAGGGAATGTGAAACTGAATCAATTTAATGATTTCCAAATGGCCCTATAAATCAGTAGGGAAATTCACAGACCAGGGAAATTTCTCACCAGCAGTCCCTATCCTGCTTGGGTTCACTGGTAATAAATTGAATGAAATTAGCAAGCTTTTCTGCTCACCTGACTTTGGGAAAATAAGTGAATGCTATTTTCTCAGCTCCAGTAAATCAATTTTAGACATTCAGGCAAAATCCTAGGAAAGAAAAATGTGCCTTTCTTACTTTTGTACTCCAAGAGTTACCTGTGGGTAACTAGATTATTTGCTAATGTGTGGTTATTTTCTCATTACTGATTTTCATATTATAGCAATTTTCTGTTCAGGGTTACCTCTTTACACTCTCACGGTCACACGTGATGCTTAAAAAGAATGCAAATGGGGTGGACGACAGAACGTGTGTGAAAGAACAACTTTGTCTAAGTGACTATTCGTGCTAAGCCCCACTATGCTAAATTAGTAAAGACCGTTTCTTTATTCTCCCTTCAGAGAGGGCACAATCAAACCTGGCGATAGGTTGCTCAGTGTGGATGGAATTCGGCTTCTTGGAACCACGCACGCTGAAGCCATGAGTATTCTTAAACAATGTGGACAAGAAGCCACGCTGCTGATAGAATATGACGTCTCAGTCATGGGTATGTCGGAGTCCTAAGGGTGTAATCTCTAAGCTCCAGGACATGTCACTATCCATCCCTGATAAACCACTTCGGATTAAGTATGTATTATTATGCTCTCCTGTAGCAGACAGAATTTCATCAGGACTGCATCTTTTCACTCTGTCCGAGTTCAGGAAGAGGTCAGAGTTCTCATGTCAATAGATTCCATGATGAAGTCTCATTCCATCGGAGTGTTTCAGCTAGCAATCAGCTCTTCTATACAGATTGCCCATGGCAGCAAAGTATTTTTCCCTTCCAAATTACAAAAATAGTATTATTAACTTAAAGATTGGTACTTTTTCTTTTACTACATGGAGACTGGCAGCAACAGGAGATTCCTTTCCTTCTCGTAACTTCACAGTATGAAGCCAGCTAATCAGAATTAATAGAAATGACCGCTTATTCATCATCAGATTTAGGGGCAAGGAAAAGAAAGGGGACGTGTGGTATAATTGCTTAAAATAAAAGGTTGAATGCAGTGTTCTTTCTTTCTTTAAATAATGATTCTAATGGAAAGAAACTATCTCTACACTCATACCTATAGTAAAACTGGCAAGATAGTCTCATGTGGCTTTTAAATGTTGAGAGCCAAAATTTTGTGTCATGTTAACTAAGGCAGAAAAATTATGAGAGAATGAATTGGAACTTGAAATTGAAACCTAAGTCATGTAAGCACTCCTTAGAGTTAGCAGACTTGATTTGGTGACCTGGCTTCACCAGCAAGTTTTATGCTAGCAGAGAAAAACTCCTTTCTTTCCTACTCTGTATGATTTATATATAACAACATTGCTTAAGAATATTCTTAATCTGTTTGCTGGCCGGAAGTGTCTTGGAGAGATAGGAGGTTTCCTAACAGGCTTAAAGTATGAGATTTTAGGAGTTCTTAGCAGGATACATGATGCTATATGCCCTTGACATGTAGAGTTCACAAATGAATATTCCCTCCCTTACTTTCCTCCCTTCTTTCTTCCTCTCTCCTTTCTTCTCTCCCTGCCTCCCTTCCTCTTTTCTTTTTCGCTTTCTTTTATTATATGGTTTTTGAGTTAGATGGTTTGAATTCTGTTTGCAACTAAACTGATTTCTAGCTATTTATTTGGACCCTGTGGCTTGATTTCCCTGTGCCTTAGTTGTCAAATGGGGACTAGCGATCTCTATTTTAAAAGGCAATTATGAGGATAAAATAAGATTATGTAAGTAAAATATATTTTAAATGATCAGACAAATGGATTATTGACATTAAGAATTGAAACAGATTTTTGACATTTAATTCATTCATTCCATCTACAAACCTGTATTGAACTAAATGGCAGGTACCAGGAATATAGAGGTAAACAAAACAGACCTGGTCCCTGCCCTTATAAAGCTTGCAATGGATGAGAAGGCTAGACAGTAAACAAGAACATTACCAAACAAATAAACTCATAAATTGTGGTCATTGTCATAAAGGGCACGAACAGGATTCTATAATAGGGAATACAGGAGCATGGGTGGTGAGGTTGGCAGGTGCTTTAAACAGGGTAGTCAGTGAAGAAGTAGCAGCTAGGTTAAAACCAAAGGCTTAGAAGGAGCCCACTCCCAGAGGGAAGACAACAATATTCTATAAGGCCTGAGCATTCCACCTCAGAGTGACAAGGGGTTCCCTATTGGGGTGGATACCACTATTTAGGGAAGAGCCCTCCACACTTCACTATTGCCAGGGTCAGCAGAGGATGGGGTGACCTGCCTGTTTGCTTCTTCCTAACTCATACTTGCATTCTGAATGACACCTGACACCCTAGAGTCCCCTGTCAGCCCCCTAATGGAAGGGAAGTGGGCCATCAGGAAGGAAACTCATTAGGAGTTCCTCAAGGTTGCTGGGTATAAAATGTGTATACCAGCCAAAAACAGAAAGTTAAAATTTTAAGATGCC